GGATACGCTTTGACCTCACTCCCTGCAGGCATTGAGCGTCAGGAAGTGTTTATTTCTGGACTTCACTCTTCAGTGTGAAATTTCATAACCTCTAAGTTGTCTAGAAAACAGAAGTGCAGACATGGATGTTAGGCCAGGACAAGGCCCCAGGAACTTGGAGACCTGTTGGAGGGTCACCATCATTGGTGCCACCTGGTTGTGGGCATGAATGTACATGTGTGCTCTGTGCAGATGCCTGGGGACACGTGTACTGTCTGAGTACATGTGTATCTGAGCATGCATGTGCAGGTGTGTCCCAGTCAGGTTCATCTGTGTCTGTAGATGGCACAGGGGCAGATGTGGGTTTGAATCCTCACCACACCCCCGATTCTCCATTCTTGGATGCACAGACTCACAGTCCAGCCGAGGGCATGGTAAGGAGTGGGTGAGTCAATGGGCAGGGCGCCCAGCACAGATCCAATCCAGGTGGGTGCCGCTGACTGCTGGCTGTGGTCTCCCTGTTTGTGTCATCTCCCCACCCACCGGGCACTGCTGCTCCCAGAACTGTGTGAGGCCCTGAGGGCCCTTGTGGAATCACTGATTTGTGTTAATACTAATGCCCCATAATCCCTAGTTCATCCTGTGATCAGCTTAATGTCTTCTCCCCTCCCCGAGACCGTAAGTCCCGTGCTGTGGGAGCATGTGCTCCCTGTTTGCTCAGCTGTGTGTGTGACCCACAGTGGCAGTTCCTCAGGGATGGATGGAACTGGTGTCCGGAAGAGGAGCAGCCTGAGCAGAGGGGCTGGGGAGGGCAGGGAGCCCAGTGAGGCCTCTTCTGGAAGGAGGTGGCCTTGAGCCAGGCCTCATGGTCTGATGGGTCTAATTTGGATATACCAGGCAGGGAAAGGGGTTCCCAGGGGATGGATCAGCCTGGTCAAAAGTCTGGACTCTGGGGCTCCACCACCACCCACCTGGAGACCAGGCAGGACCATCCATGCCCTCCTGACAGGATGTCTAGACAGCCAGGGAAGGCATTTCAGGATGTTTTGGAAGCCCACTCAAAGCAGTGAGAGAATCAGGGAGGTGTGCTTCCCAGCTGAGCCTTGAGGCTGCTGGGTACAAAGTGGACCCAGCTCAGGAGGGGCACATGCAAAAGCCCAGAGAAGCTGCAGCCCTGGGGGGTGGGGGGGCTGATTGTGCAGAACACAGACGGTGAGGAAGTGTTCCGAGGGGAAGGCCTCAGGAGTGCACGAGACTGGAACAGTGGGAGGGTGAGGGGCCAGATGGACACTCAGGTAAGCTGGCCCTGGGCCACCTGGGAGCTGGGTTGGTGGGTAAGGCTGAGGCAGAGATAGCCAGCAGCAGAGCTATTTTGAGGCCCTCTGTGTGCGCGCTCCGAGCAGGGCTTTGATGCATGTCTGCACGTCGCCACACAGCAACCTGACCTTGTAATCCGGGTATTGTTTTTATCCCCATTCTAGGGTCCAGGAGACTGACACTCAGCGACTCACCATAGGTCATACGGGGTGTGGTTACAAAGGGTGGAGCCAAGATTTGGCACCAGCAGAGTGGCGGGGCCTCAAGTGCCCAACCTCAGGCCTGGCTGCCCTCAACTTGCCTTTACCCTTGGCATGACCAGCAGGAGACCATCAGGGCAGCAGCAAGCCCCTATGGCTCCCGAAGCCTCCAGGCTCAGCTGGTGACCAGGCTCTGGCTGTCCCATGCACCCCGCCTCCCCCCAGCAATGGGGCCCCGGCCTGCAGAGCCTGGGCCTGACACGGAAACAGAGCTGTTGTTCCCGGTGGGGTCCAATTCATCTTCCCCAGCCCTGCTTCTCTTCATATGCCCTCCTTCCGCTCCTTCCCAACCTCGCCAAATTCGGTGTTTAAAAATAACCCTCAAATCTCAGAGCAGCAGTCCCCAGCTGACCTGAGGGGTGGACAGCAGCGATGTGTGCCTGACTCGTGATTCTGGACCTGGTCAAACAGCATCCAGGGAAGTCCCAGAATGTTCTTCAGCTATTCGAGTTTTATTGTTGGCTATGAGCTGCGACCTTGGGCAGTTTACCAATTTGCAGAGCAATGGCGCCCAGGACGATGAAGCTTCCTGTCTGCAGTCTGTGGGGTTCTTGAGGCCCTGGGCTCTTTTGATGCCTCCTGTCACAGTGACTGAATGGCTGTGTGAGTCTGGGCACCTCATATCACCTCCCTGAGCCTCAGTTTCCTCCTTTCTGAGATGGTTGGCATAGAATTAGCTGAGGGAATACAGCGAAATGCAGAGTGGAGCCCAGGCAGCAGCCCACAGCAGCAGCCCAGCACCCAAAAGCTGGGCCAGGCAGGAGAGGGGCCACCCTTTTAGCTCCTACTGCTGCTCTCAGCAGAAGTCACCTGTGGCAGGTGCCAGGTGGGGCACCTGACATTGTGACGTGATGTCCTCGCCAGGGCTCCCTCCACCAACCCATGGAGAGCGGAGATGATGGCTCTGCTGTGTGAACGCGTGGCTCTGAGCTGGTCAGGTCCTGAAGCCTGGTGAGGATTAGGGCAGCTGGTAGCACCGAGAGCCCTGGAGTTTCTGAAATCACTTTCTGGCCAGCTATGGAGGGATGGAGAGGTGGTGGAAGCCACTGGTGTGTTGTCTTTGGTCATTAGATGAGGAATTCTCTCCCAACTTCCCCTGGATGGAAGTTGGGTTTTCTTCCCACCGACTCAAGCCTCCCTGCCCCCACCCCATGCAGCAAATGGCGTGGACTTGACTGGCTTATTTCAGGCCAGACCTGGGTTGGGGTGGGGGCTCAGCAGGCCACAGAACCCAAGACCACTACCAAAGACTGTCCAGGTTGGACAGCAGTGCACCTGTCATCAGAGGACCTTTCAGCTATGAGCAAAGGGATCCTTCCAGGGACTGTGACGTTGGTGTTTCGCTGCCCCACTGGCCTGAGGCTCCCTAGACCTGGGATTAATTCCTAAGCTGCCCTCCTGCTCTGGCCCCTGCTGGACAGGTCCTGTCCCCAAATCAGGACCTCACAGCCTGATAGAAGCTATGGGATGAGTCATATGAAACAGGGCTGTGGGCACCCTCGGTGGCCTACCCCGAGGACAGGGACGCCCCTCCTCTGTGCCCCCAGAACCCAGCCCAGGGCCTGGTGTGGGAATAGTGTCAGCAAGCCTGGCCTGGGTAAGAGACAAACTGCTTCCGGAACACAGAATCAAGGATGACTTCCCAGAGGTGACATTCTGGAGGGTGTAAGGGGGTGCAGGGCTCACAGGAATGGGAGGGTACCCCCAGCCCCCAGTGTCAGCCAGTATACTCAGGACTTTGCAGGGAGCGGGAACAGTGGGGAAGTGGAACCCCTACCTCCACCATGCACTCAGCAGCCCAGCAGCTCTCGGACTTGGGCTCTGGCTACAAAAGTGGGGCAGCCCCACCCCAAAGGCCAGAGGGCTGGAGCAGGGAGACCCTTGTCAGCCTCTCTGGCCTTGGCATTCCTGGGTCCTAAGATGGGGGTGGGGTGGGCTGGACGTCTCAGAGGCCCCCATACTCTCTACCCACGGTGCACTTTCCAGGGCAGACCCTTGGCTTTTCCTAAACAAAATCCTCTCCTAAGCACACTCAAATGCTTTAATCTGCACTCTTCCTCCCCAGGAGGGCCCTGGGGAGGCCGGGAGGCTAGGCACAGAGCAATTAAGCAGCTTACAGCCTGGGGAACGGGGAGGCCTGCTCAGGAGATGGGAGGGGCCACACAGAGCTACCATCAGGTCCCAGTTCCAAGCCAAACATCACAAGGTCGACACTACCACCCAAGGTGCCACCACAGGGCCCACACTGCAAACCAGGAGCAGGGCTCCATGCATCTAGCCCGGAATCAAAGTTCCCAAGTGAACCTCACTCACCCTGTCCTGCAGCCCTCACCCTGACCTCCACTGCATCCCCACTGCCTTCCCTGGCCAGGACTAAGCACTTGATGGCCAGGTGGCCCCGGGTGGCTACAGAAGACAGTGCGGCCATCAGTCTGGGCTGTGCGTTGCTCTTCCCTATCTCCTTCAGAACCGTGTTGTCGGGCAGCACACCTCTGCAGTGAGTGTTCATCTTAGTCTGTCTCGGTGGGCAGGGCCGAACTGAGCCGACCCCAGAAGCAGTAGAGGGAGCCTGCTGTCCACATGGCAGGGGTGGGGGTGCGGCCAGGCTAGGAGGGCAACCCCCATTCTGCCTCCCGTGTCTGGATTTGACTACTCGAGGTGCCCCATGGAAGGCACCATGCAGTCTTTGCCTTTCTGTGTCTGGGTTATTTCTCTAAGCAGAATGTCCTGTGGATTCATCCGTGTGATAGCAGCCATCGGAATTGCCTTTCTTTTTAAGGCTGAATACTATTCCATTGTGAGCATTTTGTGTATCAATTCATTCGTCCCGGACACTGGGGCTGCCTCCCCCTTTTGGCTATTGTGAATATCCGCTGTGAACATGGGTGGGGAGTACCTGTTGGGGACCCTGCTTCCGGTTCTTTGGGGTGAGTCCTCATGCCTCCCAGCCCGTGCGCATGGTCGCTTCCTCGCAGGAATGCAGCAGAGTCAGGGAGAGCTTCTATTTAGTTCCTTTTGTTTCTCTTTGTGTCTCTGATGACTGGAAGGGTTCCCTGCTTGGTGTGTAATTGTGGAGGGGCCAATGGGGTCACCATTAACAACACAGCAGAGAGACCAGGTCCCTAGCCCTGGAGGTGGCCACGCTAACAGGACGTTCTCGTCTCAATGCCTGTGGCGCCTACCTACTGACACCATTCTATCGTTTATTTGTACCACTTGAGCCACCTGGCCTCCTTTGGTTAAGTCTCATTTTGCCGTGAAAAGAAGAGGAGGTGACAGGTGACTGGTGGGGGAAGGCCATTCATGCCAGAGAGGACATAGGATGACAACATTTCCATCGTCTACACTCTCACTCTCCTGTCCCCTACCCACCTGCCTGCCCGTCCCCCACTGTGGGCGACAAAGCCGGTGTCGCGACCCAGCCTCTCCTGTCTCGTTACACAGGCAGCGCTGGACGGGTCAATGCAAGCCAGACGATGACCAGTTGTGGCCAGCGGTTCCGGAACGCACTCGCGGTGCTCTTGTCCTTGCTGGTTCCTGCAGGTAACTCCTGTCTCCTCGGAGCTTGGCAGGGGCGCGGGCAGCAGGCTGTCCCTGCCTGGGGCAGTGCTGCATCTGGCGGGGGGCCTGGGGGGGCCCTTGGGATGAACCTGTCGCTGCAAGCAACACCTACTGTGTGCAGCACCTGCTCACTTGCTACAGGAGCTCGGTGGGAGAGCGCAAGGGTGCTGGGGTGACAGGGCTGCTGGGCAACCTGGAAAAGCCCCCACTCACGGTCGCTCCTCCAACCCTGCTAGCCAACCTCAGGCAATACCCAGTGCATCTTTCATGAGGGGGACTTTGATGAGCGAATGAGGCCAGGAGTGGAGACTGCCTTGCCTGAGAACAGCTGATGGAGAGGCTGTGGTTTGGGCCGGAGGCAGCCTGGGGCACTGGGGCCACCCTCCTGGTACCAGCTCAGCCCCTGGGCTGTCCACTTATCCTAGCTCAGGTTACAGGCGGGCTCAGGCTGGGCGGGTAGAAACCAAGCCCTTCTTCGCTCCCCTGAGCTAGAGTCCATCAGGGAAGTCTGCTCCCCCCACCAAGAGCAAAGGCAACTGGGGCCTGTCTCAGCCTGCCTTCCTCCCTGTGTCTCTGCCTGCCTGCCATGTGTCTGTCTGTATCTGTATTGCTCAGTCTGTCTTTCTTTTGGAGTCTTTCCCTGTCTGTTGCTGTCTCTCTCTTTTTCTGTCTCTCTTTACCTTTCTCTGTATCATTCTCTGTGTCTCTTTGTGTCTTTCTGTCCCTGTCTGTCTCCTCTCTCACACCCTCGTACTCTGGCCAACCCGGTGACACTGGCCTTGTGGTTTCTAGCCTTGACCCCTTTGCTGGGGCATGGCTCAGAGGGAGGCCATGAAGGGGCTTGGGGTAGGACTGAGCAGGGCCCCCAGTATAGCGGAGCCAAAGCCAAGCCAAAGTCAGGGGTCTGGGGCCACAGTAACTCTAGCTCCTCTCTGTGTGTTGACACATCGGGTCCTCAAACCCCCCCTTCCTCCCAAGGAAACAGAGTCAGAGAAGGCAAGTGATTTGCCCCGGGTCACACAGCAAGTGGAAGAGCCCGCTGTTGAGTGAGGGCCACCCAGAGCCAGAAGTCCACTGAGCTCTGTCTGTGGCATTCCACTGCCGGGACCAGGACCCAAGAGAGCGGGGGGGGGGGGCTCCTCCTGCACCA